CTTTGCATCTTCTAAGCCCTGAACTCTTTATTACTTTCTTTTTCAGGCCGATTACGATTATAAGGCTAAAGGACAAGGAATGCGCTTAAAATAATGCTTTGAGGTCGCCAGTGGATGGAAGCCGAAAAGCTTACCACACAACTCCACAACACAAGGAAACTCCCGCTACAGAATCAGAGCAAGAAACTCCTGCGCGAACTCACTTACGGGTATTCACCCTTGTCCGTAGGGGATGGGATTAGATTCATTTAGAATATTTAATTGATTTTGGTCTATCGCTTGTAAAGCATCCCAGGTAGTTCTCTAAGCACCGGTTAACCACCTCCCTCACAGTTTGCATGAGATTCCACTTATTCTATGTCATTTTAAGCCTTAGGTAGTTGTTCCTCCAGCAGTTCTGTTCTTGGTCTGATAGTCTTGTTAACGCTTTCTAATCTACTTTATTGTACAGATCTTCCTTTCCTTCCTCGTCCAGTGACGGATTTGCTCCCTATTTAAGGAAGTATTCTTCTTTAGTAAGAAGAGTACTGCCTAAAGCAATGTGAGTGAAAGTGTCTATATGGGAGTCAACTCCTTTTCTGGTGTAGATCCCCTTCCTTATTCATAAGTTCCCCGGGTACAAGGAATGAGTGCTCCTAATGTATTTTCTCTGTTTCGGTGTAGATCGTCTCTTTGTCTATGGAGACCTTTTCAAGTCGTCCATTCTCTTCGGTATGGATTCAAAGTCATCCCTCACGCGGGTGCAGGGAGTCCTGCTTGTGCTCTTTCTTTGTGGTCCAGGCCAGGCACTCCATATGTGTTTCGGTATTGAACTGAGCACTCGTGTAACTACTAATAAAGCTCGAGGGACCTTTCTTTCTGAGGGCTACCGGTGTGACTTCTCTTGGTCAGGTCTAAAGGGTCTAAGGGGAAGCCCTTTTCTTATTAGTATTAGAGGTGAACCTACTACTATTGAATAATCCTGGTAGTCCAACTACAGAAAAGGTTATTCCTAGAAAGATTGTTCCTTCGTTTACTAGAACGAGAAGTACCAGATGGGGGAGACCCGCTACTTCAACGAAATAGACTACCTCACTAAGATGGCTGTCAGCCCGAGTGCCTGTCACGACCACAACTACCAAGATTCAACCGTCTTTTGTTTTGCTGCTGCTGCTAATCCGCTTCCGGCTATTCAGCCAGCGGAACCTGATATGGAATCAGTCAAATATGTAATCAGGAATAGGTTTTTTGTGTATCGACAGGGTCCAGGGGCGAGCAATGTCTCCGATGAGGAAATCAATAGAATTCTTGATCTAAAGCGACGTATTTTGAATCGAATGGGGGAAACGGGAAAACACACTAATTCGTGATTACCTTCTGCCTCCCCGGGTCAAAGTGGATGTCTTAGAAAGAAAGCTCCATGACCTCAATGCCACATAATCTAAAATATATAAAGAGCTACTCCGAGTTCGAGAAAATTTCCATAGGGATGGACGTTATCGCAGTCCTATAGGTGGTTGGTTGTTTTTAGGTTCCATTCATATCTTATTCATTCCGATTTAGTCTATATCTAGTATTTCCTCCTTTATTAATGGAAAGGAATCGAAGAAGAAGAGAAGATAAGTGAATTAAAAATGAAGGGAAGACAGATTACCATTTCTTTCGAGCGAAATTGAACTAAGAGGGGGCCCGCCCAAAGGTGCTTAGCCAATACTTTATCCTTATAGACTTTACGGCTGTGATATGAAGGGAAAGCCCATGGCCACACACATAAGAGTAGACAGTCCGGGTGTTCTCTCCCCTTACTGTGACCTTCCTCTTGAACTGGTCATGGTAGGCGCGTCATCTATAGCAGTTGCCTGCAGGCTGACTAGATCGTTTTGGGACATTGTATTTGGTCGGGCGATGTCTCTATCGATGGAAAGGCTGACGAAGGGTATTTTGTTTTCGCTCCTTACGTCGTGAAGGCATAAGCCTTTAGTGTTCTATTTAGACCTGCGTATTTAGGTCAATTTCACCCAGTTTCCGTTGCTAACTAAATGATGACGCACCCCTTCCTCGCTTTAGCGCCGGCGCCAACAACTGGATAGAACTTTCCTCCCCATCTTTCTGGTATCTAGCGAAATGGCAGCTGGATTCCCTAGTTCCAATGTTCTTTTCACTGTACTTGAGTCTTTCCCCCTTACTCTACTCTGGCTATAGAGCAGAGCCATCTAAATGCCATCATGAAGCGTAAGACTTAGGATAGTCCTCGACTACCTTCTTATTTACTTGTTGAGCACTACTGGGCAAATACTTTTTTTATATGATTAGACCGGACTGACTAGCTTCCCTCGATAAGCTGGCTTATTGGGGTTAGGCATTCTTAGGCAATAGACCACACATCAGCGATAAGGGGCAGCGGTCAGCGAATTGAAAATCAAGAGACAGTTGACCAACAAGAATTGCATAAGTAATAAAGTAAGTAAAGAAAAAGAAAGTACGTAAGAAGTAATATCGTATGTAAGGACATTTTACCCTGTTAGGGAATAGTCCAAAAACTTCTTTTTGGTTTGATTGATTCATAAGACCGCTAGACGCTCTCTCTTTTGCTTTGGGATAAAAGGCTGGCTTCGAGAGAGGCGCAATCCGTCTGGCCGGCCTTAAATAACTTAAGCCAAGTCACTAACAGAAGGATGTTTTTTTCCTTAACAGGGGCCTGTCCTCCACTTCTCCGTTGATCTATAGGGGAAAAAATTGCCTTCCCCGCTCCACGGAGCGTACCGCCCTTCCATTTTCCTTATGCCTCTTCTCTCTCTACTATTCACTACTACTCATCACTGTTAGAGAGAGGTACGAAGTGACTCGACTGATAAGGAGAGGGGAGAAGATACTATACTCGACTGAAAGGAGAGAAGGA